TGTGCTGCCAAAACTGAGCAACTTCCTCTGGGTCCATGATGATGGTAGTGATTGGGTTACTTCTGCTGCTGCTGTTGTGCCTAAAGGTAGAGAGGTAGGAGCGGCAAGGAGACTATCGTCCCTGGCCACTTTTCGCTCACAATAGCAAGGGTTTTCGGGACTACAACTCTGATCACAGCTCCGATCTTCCCCCTCTATCTGTAGTATAGAAATTGATAATTTGGCACGATTTTATTCTATTTGACCCGATATTCAGTTCACGCCCAGCTCGTACAGCAGTCACCGATGAGAGCCCTGATGTGTGTTGGTCTGCTGTTACATACCAAAGATTTGTGTGAGCAAGGGAGCGGCGTGTGGATGCGACCATGTGTACTCGAGTGCATGTGGGAGATACCGGTAGGGTGTGTAAAGAACGGGAGACGGTGGTTGAAATATTTGTGTTCCATAGCCTTGGCCTTGATGATGTCAGCGGTCTCTTCGCCCAGTGTAGAAAAAAAAGACCCTCGGAAGATCCAGGGAAAACCCAGTCACGTAAGGGTTAAGCTTTGTTCCTGCATCCATTGGTCCAGGGGGTCTGTTTTCTCGTGTAATTTACGGTACTCCAAGAAGATAGTGGCATATAACCACATCGTACGTTATCTTGAAAGCTCTGGACGAGGCGGCTCCAACGCCGCCATTTTGGGCACCTTGGCTGTGTGTTCCCTCCAGGGTAGTCTACCTTTGAACGTCGGTCGAGGGGGTGTGGTATCTCATGTAATGTGCCTTGTTTTCGGCTCGCACACACTGGAATATCAAGTCGTTCTGTACGTTGAATAGTGCCGGTGCACGGTACTGTGCTGGTAAAATTTTTGCGCACACCCCGGCACCAAACAGGGACCTCTACTGTAATGGGATTATGAAATACTGCTCAGCGGTGGGTCCGAAACCTACTCTTCCAATAGCCTGTGCTAGACAGCAACAGTGGCCATGAAACAAGAGAGAGAAACTAAGCCTCGACGCGACGGTGACGTTTACTTATCTCCGGGCCCGTCCTGTCAATGCGAGCAGATGGCGCGGCCCGAGCGATCGCACCTCGAGGAGCACTACGCCGACCTCAGCGGCAAGAGCTTCTTCGCGGGCCTCATCGACTACATGGTAAGCTTCGACCGAACCGGATGCACCCTTGTTGTTGTTGTTGATGGAAGATAAGAAACGCTGCTGTGCGGCGCATCGTTGCTTGATGAGGAAGGAACTTGCTGCTGCGCCGTTCTCGCTGGCCGCTTGGCCTCGTTTTCGCGTGCGTGTTCCATGTCTTCGACGTAATGTAGACGTTTGTTCTTATTGATGCATTTAAGGTTTGGACGACCCTCTTGCCAGCCCTGATGTGCTCGCTTCTTAGCGGTAGTGCCGTGTGTGTTGCCGTTCCCTGAGTTATGAACGTCAAATAACGTTAAACCGTTGGGAGTGTTTGGACGGCCCAAGCAGCCAGTACGGTTCTTTTTGTCCCGAGCTTTCCTCTCCGGCAGCTCTCGCCTCAGCCTTGGTTGGCATCGCGAGGAGATTGCCTCCGTTGCGATCCCTCCGCGACCATGCAGTCTTTTTTCCCCACCAGTTCCATCACCAAAGTTGAGCCTGATGTGAACGCGCCGAAATTCGACATGTAGTAACCTTTGAAAAGATTTATTCATGTCCGTACGTACTCGTCCCAGGCGTCTGGCCCCGTGGTGTGCATGGTGTGGACGGGCGTGAACGTGGTGCTTGAGGGGCGCAAGATGCTCGGAGCCACCAAGCCGTCTGAGTCGGCCATGGGGACCATCCGCGGGGACTTCTGCGTGGAGTGAGTCGACAATGTAAACCCTTCGCATACAAGCTTATGGAGAGCCTACATGCTCATGTACAAGAGTTGTGCCGCACTCGGATGATTTCTTACCCTTTGCCTCGAACAGACCTTTCACCACAGGTCCTGGGAAAGAGCATCTACATCGAAGAGGCCGACGTAGTTATCACAGCGAGTTTACAAGACCAAAGAAATAAAGAGAGTTGAAAATTGTGACGACAATAAAACTTGCCACGCTACCGCTCGACGAGGAACTACAACTGGCAGGATAAACATGACACGCCTCGCACACGCAGCGTGCATCTTCAAACTGGCGATGTATACATATTTTTGGTGTTTTTTCGATGACAAACCACTTGCCGGATACGGCATCCAAAACACAAGCAGACGGAGAGGAAGCTCGCTGCACTGCACTATCGGCTTTCAAATCCGGAATTGACATGGTGCTTCGCCCTGTCGGCGCCCGCTTGGCAGCTTGGAATGCATGAACGCACGCACCGGAAATCGCATTCTTGAGCAATCTGATCTGTCCAAGCTAGTCGTGTTCCCTTTCCTTCCGTAGCATAGCTTTACCCTCGTGCTCGTGTTCCCGCACGTGGTCCAATGCGTCATCAACAAACTCACCACCTTTGTTTCTGCTTGCAACCCGCAACTCACTCGTTCTTGCCCTTGCCCCGGTCCAATCCCGTGAACGAAATGGAATGGGACGGGATGGGTCCCAACCGTAGGGTGGGACGCAACGTCTGCCACGGCTCCGACTCCACGGACTCGGCTGAGCACGAGATCAAGCTCTGGTTCCCAGAGTGAGTACACAGACACGGCAGACACAACCATGACCTCGGCTGTAGTCTCTTTTTAAGAGCACCATGGCGTTGCTGTCCTACGTTGCCAACGTCGAGACATGCCTGCCTAGGGCGCGCTACGGTGTAGTTGCGCTCCAGTGTTGGGCACAATTTCTTGTTGGTGCAAGTTGCACCTAGATATGAAGATCGCAGTACCGCGTGTTCTTTTATGCTGTGGCATTTGATGATACGCCAGCTCAAAACGCATTGCGAGTTGCGTAGGCTGAGCACGTAGCAGTAGATTAACGTTCACAGCATTCTCTTTGTCTTGCTGGCCGTGTTCCGTCAACCATTCGTGCTTGCGGTAAACAATACAACCTCGGGTCCAGGTAATGCTTGCGGTTCATCCATGTTCCTTCCTACGCACGATAGATACCTCTTTGACCTCACTCTTTTTGGTGTGTGATGCTCCTGTCCGTCGTATCCAGTAGCCTTTTTCTATTCTGTGAACATGTTGGGTATAACGTGCAATCGGGGTAGTTGGATTAGAGTTAGGGCTAGGGTCTGCGTGCCCCCTGCCTGTTTTATTTCCTCATCAAATTCACTTCTCGCGAAGGCGGTCGCCAGCCTTCACAGGGTTTTCTGCGAAGAGAACTTGTTGTATACGGGATAAATCGGGGAAGTTGGATTACGGAAGCAGCTTACATGTAACGTGATGTCTTCCTCCCCCGGCAAAATGTCGATCGTCCTTGACAGGGGTGTGTGCGAGTGGGACGCGTGCACCAAGGCCTGGATCTACGAGAAGTGAAGGATGAATGGATCATGTCCGCAAACCACGGCGGAAGGGGGCCTTGTTCTTTTGGAGTCCGGGGTTTCGACACCGTGCATGTCCACCGCACAAGACGGTTCTTGGATGGTCGTGGCTTGTAAACGCATGCCTCGTGAACTTGACAGTCCGATGGCCTGACAGTCTCGTTACTAGAAAGTCTCCTGCCGTGTGGCGCTCTGGGGGTCGCCGATCGATCGCCTCGATGTACAGAGAACAAGAGACCTTGAAGTTGTGTAGGGCTCACAAACCTCTTGCTGATTTCACGCGAGCGTGGAGCTTGGGGTAACCACAGCTGGGGTCGATTGAATTCATTCACCGAGCGTGTTTCGCCAGTGTTGCAGTATGACGGTACTGGTACCATCGGCATGAGAGTTGGGGACTCTGGGCTCAGTTGAAGTCATGTTTGGGGTGAACTGCACCTGCGTTTCGCGCGAGTTCGGACACATGACAACCACCTTGCGCCCCAAACCTAAGCAGAGAACACTACCACACTCGGGCTCAGGTGAAGTGATAGTGGGGGTTAACGACACCTACCGTCGTACGAGTTCGGACACATAAAATACAGAGAGTAATGACACACCAGGGGCACCGCTCAGAGGGGTGGTGCGCGGTTAAGAGAGAACCCTTGGACGTGAACTTGGTGTTTTCACGCACGATTTAGCTCTCTGTGCGACAGTGAAAAAAGTGTCACGGTGATGAGCAGTGCTATTTTTTTTTATCCCATCATTGGACTCTGTCGTCTGCCCCTCTGGCCCCTATCCTCCACGTCTACTAGCTAGACGACCCAACCGGGGTCACATAGGAGAGGGGGGGGGCTGGACCCCCTCCTGCGGTTCCTGCCTGAGGTATTTTTATCGCGAGAAGGGTACATCAATCCCTTCCCTCGCGACTTATGAAGCCGATTATGGCTTACTAACAAGCTTTGCAGCGCGTTGCTTTCATCCTAGACCAGGATCTATTTAGTCCGAAAAAACTCACTCTGCTGGGACTCGAACCCATGACCTGGCCCTTAGCAGGCTGCGAGGGTACCCACTAGACCACCGGGGCGACCAATGTACCTGAACTTGGCATGACGGAGATTGTTAGTTGCACGATCGAAACATTGTTCTGGCATTTCCGCGTGACAAACGGTGCATCAGTGTGCCCAACATATACTGCTCTATCGGGGTGGAAAAACACGTACGTGACCACTAGATCCAACGCACGAATATTCACCGTCGGGTCTGCAACTATTACTGCTGAGCATGCCTTGCACGGGCCACCAAGAACACCTGTAAAGCTTGAACGCGAAATTTCTATTTACCTTGTCGCAACTATACGCGTTACCCAGCGCATATGCCGGCACTCGTCCAGTAAGGGCGAGAGAGCCGATTTCTTTTCCGGGAAGACATGAGCGTGTGTGGGTTACGGAAAAGACGAAACCACAGCAGATGAAACCAAATACCCACGTCGCGTATGCCTGAAACGGCTGACAGCTCCACCGAAGACGCTTTATTCTCGCTCGCGTGTCTGAGACATGGTTGTTCCAGGTAGCTTGGATTTTCGCAACGCACGAAAACCCTGGTTTCACTCTACCACCTACTTGTGGTTCTGGTTGTGGCTTCATTCGATGTTCTCACCAACTACAGCAGTTCCCTACGAAGCTTCCATTGTCGAAGCACACACAAACGAACGAAACCTGATTCTACTCTTCTACCATCAACCCACGAAAGCTCGACCCACGTGGTTCTAATTCTGGCTTCGATGTCCGTACAGTACCCCATGAATCTCCTCTGATTTCGTCGCTCTACACCCTATGACCACACTTCAGGTGCTCGCGTTCTCATGAAAATCTGGCTCTCTACGTTGTAGATCTCGGTGAATCCTGCTGCGACCAGAAGCTCGCAAGCCTTTGCCGATCTGTAGGTCTTGCACCCTATCAAGAGCTTCGCGTCCAGGTCGAATCGAGCTTTCATCTGTCGGGCGCGGTCGCGTGGCAAGTACGGATGCAGTATGGACCCGCGGTTGAGAAATTATTTGTTCAGAAACTCAAGCTCACGTTTTCGCGCGCGCAAAAAAAAAAAAAGGTACAAGACGTGGTTCAGCGGTGGATCCTACTCTCAACTCTGGTACATTACAACCTGTGCTCGACAGCAGTGGCGATGAAATAAGAAACTGAGCCTTGACCCCATTCTGACGTTTTATCTCTGCGGGCCCGAATTCTCCGTAGCCAAGGAATATCGCGTGATCGCGCGCATCCACCAAGATCATCAACCCACATTGTCACCAGCTTCAATTTGGTAGCTGAGCAGCAGGGCAACAAACAGCAACAGCAGGGATGTTGGTGATGGTATTACGTATACACAACAACGTAACGAGGCAACAGTCGGGGAGCGTGATGCTGCGGCGTGGGGGCAGGCGACTGGTGCCGGATGCAGCAGTCCTTGGCGGTGAGAACTCGAGGGGCACACCCGTTCATTTCCTCATCGCCGAGGCCATCTGCGCAGGCGCTCTTTCCTGTCACTTACGCCCAATATTAACATTTATTTCGGCTCATTCAACGGAGAGGGATTGCTTTCGCAAGGATATTATTATTAATCTTTGAAATAGGAGGGGGCTTCGTAACCCTAACCCCCACCGGAATCCCCTACGGTACTAAAACCAAGTTCAATATCCTCGCTGCTGATGAAAACACTACATGATGAGGTCTCGATACAACACGTTTACCTTTCTCCGAACAAGGGAACGAGCCAGCGGCGTCTACGACGACCCCGACCGCCACAGCCTTAGCCTTGCTGGAAAGCGACCTTCCTCTCACCGTGTCCACGAAGTCTGGCTTGACCGTGTAGTCCAGTTCCTCGAAGTTATAATCTGGAGCATACCCGGTGTCATCGCTGTCTTGGTCGTCAAGCCCCTCTCCTTTCTCCTCTGCCTCGGGCATGACTAATTCGAACGCTGGGATGCACAACGCCCCCCTAAACAGCGTGCGCGCACGGCAACATTATTTTCGTTTGTCTACAGTGACGGTAGTGGGTGCGCATGGAGGGTGGGCGTGCGAGAGACAGACGCATCCAAAGCTACTGCTGCTGTACAGTCAACGCCCGCGATTAAGAAACGAATCTTTAAGAAACAAAAGGCTTAGATTTCGGCGACAAAAAAAATAAATCGACTGAGGAACGCACCTCAGTTGTGGATCCTACGCTAAACTTAATGTAACGACCTACACTTGGCGGCGGCGACGAAAAATTAACTGAGCCTCGATCCCAAGTCGACGCTTCTTGCAGTACACGCGCGCGTTAGCTGTACGACAGGTTGATTGATGCTGAACGGACTTGGCAACGGCTTCACTATACAAGTATATGTCAAGCGGTCATCAGAGTAGTCTTGCTCTTCGAACCGCACTCCAACGTGAAGGTTGTGGTCACAACAACCACGACAAATGAAAGGGAATGCCGCCATTGCCTTTCCGGGAGTACAGCGTAGTCGGATTGTGAACGCTGCCCTGCTACTCTTGCAATAACATGGGTTTGGGAGCAGGGGAAGCGAGAAGCCTCAACATAGCAGCCTTGCATCTTGTGGAACGAACCCAACGCTGTACCGTGGGCAAGACAATGGTCGGGGGGGCTCCGCTTTTTACAATTATTCTCTGAAACACCTCCCATGGTTGGGCATTTGTAGATGCAATTTTGCCACCAAAACCATTCTCGTTCATCATAATTTCATGTTCTGTTGGTGCACCTTACTGTTGCCAGCTTTTCATGCTCTTCTGCCGATCGGATGTCGATGTAGCTGAACTCTGAGTCCTTGCTCATGGTCCACTCCACCGCCTCTCGAACCGTAACGTCTGTGTAACCTTTCTCCTCTTCACTTCCTTCTTCCCCTCCGAGCATTCGCACAACAGTGCTGCAGCAGGCAGTCGCAGGAGAACCGATCGATGCCAGCACCGAAAGGAGGATATCATGTCATTAGACTACGCGCAGGGATAAGTGCGGAGATTAAATAGTGTATGTAGTGCAACGATGAGTTGTTCACAGGGGAGAAATGTTGTGGAGTGTCCGCTGTAGTACGTGCAACACCTTTCTTGTACACATACCATCGCCAGCAAGCGCAAAGAGCGATCGCAGATTAGAATCGGCAGTGTTACCATCGCCAACAAGCGCAAAGCACGGCACCACGAGTGACAGCCAGTGTCTTATGGCAGTTAGCGCGCCTGGGAGTGTGCTGCCATACGCATACCCACAGGAGTAAGCCCCACACCTCTCCGGGCATGGCCAAAGCATGTGTCACAACTGGGTTCATGTGTGTAACCATGCGTAGTCCACAAGCACTCGTAGAGGACTTTAGCACATCAACAACGTCTCCTCAAGACACAGACACACACTGCACTCACCTGGAAGCTCTTGGCCATAGTAATTGAAGGTGTCGAGCAAATGGTACATGTAGTTGGGGGTTGCTGGCACATGCAGTTGACGGCGGACTTGTGTGCGGCGGGACTGTCAAAAAGGCCTGCGTTGCAGAGCCAAACAGAACGACACCCAGCACCCGCATGGCGGCTTGTACACACACCAAGGGTCAAGCTAGGATGACCTTTCACAACGCAACCTGGACCAACGCGCCGTGTTTTTGCGTGGACTCCACGTTGACTTGTTGCTTGTGCGCTTCAGACATGGACGGACAATTGACTGCGGGTCTCAATGGTTGGGATTTCTGGCCACTACAGTTGTTGTACATACCAAAGACCGAAGGGTACCCGTATTTCTCGCACGCGGGGCAAGTCGCATGATCACATGTCTGAAAAAAAAAAAAGATGGCGGAGGAACAATAATTATCGTTTTACACAGAAGAGTAGCGCGACCGGCGTACATCCACCCAAGGCTAAAGGTTAACAGCTGTAGACCATTCCAGTAGCTATCCAGGGAACCAAGATTTGCCAAATTCCGTCGACTGTAGGCTTCAAACTTGTCGGCGCAACACGCAGCCCCTCCCCTAAAAAAATGTGAGACCTGTATCTACGAGGCACAACCACCCTGCTCCCGCCAAAGCGACCAAGCACAAGAACGCGCCCACTACAGCATCAATCGCCACCAACGTTCGAGGGAAGATAGACTGAGCACCATAGAGTATATTGCAGAAGGTTTGAACTTGATTGGTGGCGGGAATCAAGAGGAAGACACAGATGAAGTTGAAAACTTGCACTATCACACAGGCACCATGCTTATTTTCTGCCACGCCGCCGGCAACATCGAGCATTGGTAATGTTAGCTGCTGACCTTGCGGTTGTACACCACTTGAAATTGTGCTGCAAGACGTACTACACGTGAAGTACTCTTGAATGGCGTCAGCTAGATTTGAACTGAAATTGCTGTTGGGGTGCCCCCCTCTCCTGCTGCGGTGTTGCACCGCACACACTTGTTGTGCCTGTTGACTCGGGGCCCTCACCCAGCAGTACAACTCTCCGGAATCCCGGAGAAAAAAACTATGAGAGGATGGAGGAGCGACAGTATCACGGCAGCTACACTAACAGGGAACTTGATCACTGATAACCTTGTGCTATCTGACGTCGCACGCAGACGGGCACATTTTTATTGTTGAAGCATTTTTTCTCGAAGCATACGAATACATTGATCGTAGACTAAGCACTGAGCATTGAGTGTGTCGAAAACGCGAGGAAATACTTACACGCGAACACCGCACACGAGACTGCCCCCCCCGGGTTGCCCACACCTATCAACATCATGCCCGAACTGAAGAAAACAACTAACACCTTATTTACAGTCAGTGCAAACGACACAGGCAGGCCCGGAACGCACACAGCACCCCCGTACCTTTCGGGCGGTTTGCGACGAACAAAATACCATGCCAACAAACAACGGACACCCGGCGCGGCCGAAAAATATTCCCCCCCGTCCACCTNCCCGGGTTGCCCACACCTATCAACATCATGCCCGAACTGAAGAAAACAACTAACACCTTATTTACAGTCAGTGCAAACGACACAGGCAGGCCCGGAACGCACACAGCACCCCCGTACCTTTCGGGCGGTTTGCGACGAACAAAATACCATGCCAACAAACAACGGACACCCGGCGCGGCCGAAAAATATTCCCCCCCGTCCACCTCCTCCCCCCCGGGTGTTTGCCATCGGGGTTGGGTTTTCGTCGCTTGGCAACGACGTTTCAAAACAAGCCACCCCCCCCGGTGTTTGGGATAGTCAACGAGTTCATGAAGTTTGGGGGGAAGGGGATGATACAGCTGATGGTACTGCTGTACAATTAGGTGTGGAAAAACGAGTATACGCCAAGTAGATGGAGGGAAGGAGTG